CTACTACTACTACTACTACTACTACTACTACTACTACTACTACTACTACTACTACTAACAATAAGTCAAATTCATATACATGTACTACATTTCCACTACAACATAATATCCAACAGAGGAACAAATTCGAAACCAACAAGAAAGTAAACGACATGAACACGAGAAACATTGGGAAGCGGGCTTCTCACCACAGTTGTCCTCATCCTCCCTGCCCGGGCAGTCTGGAACTCCGTCACAAATCTGGTCCAGGGTGAGGCACTCGCTGCCACACACCACCACGCCGTCACAAGGGGGGCGGGACGCTTGCGTGCTGCCCACTGCTGATTGGTTCACACCGGTCAGGTGGGGCAAAATAAGGGCGTGTTTATTAAAGTCGTAAATCTAAGTCACGCTCATGTCAATATTATCGATTTTTATTATGAAAGACAAATTAATGATTTATTGAAACTTAAATCATGCAATGAGTAGTAAAGCATCATGTTACCTTATTTTATCTTCTTGTCTTGTCTTGTCTTGTTTTATCTCATCTTATCTTATCTCAACTTATCTTATCTTAATGTCAATGTAATTCATCATGTTGTCTTATATTATCTTATCTTTTTGTCTGGCATTGTCCTGTCTTGTTTTATCTCATTTTATCTTATCTCATCTTATCTTATCTTAATGTCAATTCTCCCAAGAGTCACAGATTGGCAGGAATCATTAGAATCTTCGCATACATGATAAAACAATATACAAGTTACACCACTCAATCACAACAATCTTAACTTAGTGTGCACAAGGCAAGAATGAGAAATTTACACATATTTACTTCAAGACGAAGTTGGGTGAAATTCAACTTCTCTATTATTTACAATAACAGCAAGATATTACACCATTCACCCCTACTCAATGGGATTAACTCCATTCATGCCTTTAGTTATTGACGCACCTAATGCATTGGCATATTAAATATTATATGAAAGAGCTGCTGTTTCGGAGTATGACAGACACATACATTGTAGCTTTATCTAGATAATGTGGTAGACTTCGAATTATATTGTTTTGTCTCTCTTCTCC